ATAGAGCACATGCACTCTTCTTTGTTTTTTTTTTTTTAAATGAATGTCTCTTAAAGTTGATTTTCAAAATTTGTACCAAGAATTTTTTACCTTTAAAAAAGAAAAAGAAAGAAGGAGATTCAAATTTTGAATTTTCTTTTCAACGACATTGACAGAACTATAACTGAGTAACCGACACTACAATTCATTTTGATTGAAATTCTACCAAACATACTTTCAAAAGCAGTCCGAGCATGATACTCCATACTATAAAAGTCCATGTGAGAAATATAGCATATAGTTTTACAAATCGAGCACATCTTCTTTTCATGGGTAGTTGTCTTGTTGGGCGCTAAAAGATGGTTTGGTTTCATGCAAGTATTGGCTCAGGAGACACGGATACTTCTTACATATTGATACATGAATACGGTTTGAACATGCATCGAATATGATTAAAAATATACTGAATAGTAAATATTTTATTCACTTATAGGATATTGCTGTGACATAGCATGAACATCGTTTTGAATACTTTAAAAATACGGTGAAATGATTTTGTAATTATTTATTTTTTTAAACGTGAATACGGTTAATACGGCGAATTGATTTTGTAATTATTTATTTTTTTACAGAAATAAAATTCAATACAATTTAAACATATTATGGGTAAAATAAAAATAATAATATAAAATTTAAGAAAACAAAAATAACAAATATTTTGATCTAAACTATAATTATTTATTTATGATTATATGAATAAAATGATAAAAAAAAATATTTTATATATGTATATATATAATGATATATACAACTTTAGTCTCATTTTAGATATCCATGTCTCAAAATGAAACTTGTTAAGAGATTGATTTTTAATCGAATTTTCAAATTTACTCTTTGTTTTGAAACTCCAAAAGCTTAAGCTTCTTGTTGTGATACTAATTGTAACAAACTGGGTGGCTCGCGGTATGATTATAAAGTTTAAGTTATTTCGTATCCTACTTGATAGGTCCAAGTAGGGCTGGGTTGATATCAATTATAATGGATTGGATTCTTCGCGGTCTGATAAAAAAACTTAAATTATAAAGTGAAGCTAATACTCAACTTATTTATATCCATTTTATTTTCAATTCGGATTCGACGTGAGATAAAGACTATTCTCGTAACAATTGTCTAATTCGGTTTGGACTTTTGTTGGGTTAAGAAAGAAAAAAAAAAAACCGATTTGGATTCAAGCCATCCAACACTTTGATGTAAATTAAAATAAGATCGAAAATTTTCAACTGCGGTAGTGCGGTTCAACTCTCATTCGATGTCTGAATAAAAATCAAATTCAATTTAGATCTAAGTTTGAGTTGGACCCAAAGTTACACATTTGACTAGTATGGTACGACAAAATAGAGAAACAGATTTCATAACAGACAACCTTGTTCAAGTTTTTCCCTAGACAAGGAACAATAAATTAGGAAAAATGATACACAAAGTAGACATAGTAAAAATACGATACCCAAAAAAAAAAAAAAAAAAAAAAAATTGAAAATGCACGAGTACAATTTTATTAATTTTTTTTTTTTATAAAAAAATACATTATAAAAATTTAGCTAATAAAGTAGAAATATAAAAATTTGAATACAAATACATACGTGTACATTGTAAGAATTAAAATTTCCAAACCAAAATTCGGCTATATATAGACATTATTTATTTATTTATATAATATATCCTTATAAATTATATTAAAAGACAATGTAACAAATAATAAAAATAAATAATAAAATAAATTTAGAAATAACAAAATAAATTTTCTTTTTATGTAAATTGACACTATTATGGAAGAAATAAACTAATTAATAACTATAAGATCATAAATTCATCACAAATTAATAAAAAAAAAAATTATAATTTAAATATTCAAGTATGTTTATCTATAAAGATTCTAATTCAATCAAAGGAAAACTCTCTTAATAATAATAAAAAAGGAAATACATCACAATTTAATAATAATTTATTATTATTATAATATTTTTTAGTTGTGATAAGATATCTTGTCGCTATAAAAATTTAAACCATGAACTTCCACGTATTAATTTGTACCATTAAATTACAAATCTTTTGTTTCATGTTACATACACATGATTGAGATTGACAAATTATTTAACTTCCATACGGCACGTAAATGTGTCGTTTGACCTTTGCTTTTTTGTCTTCTCTGTCCCCGTGACTGACTCTAAAAATTCCTGCCGCAAGTCACGTGACTCACAACCCCTACTGTGCTGTGCAAGTTAGCAAATGCTAACCTGCGCCAATGGTCACCATATAAGAAATTAGTGTTAGTAATATATAGTCCCTGAATCATCTCAGGTGAAAAATCATCCCAACATTTTTGTAAGATGCATACAAAATTAGACATAACAGGAGTTATTGTTCGAGTAGGTATTCAATGTGCCTGGTGCATCGATCACATCACAGCAGTTCGTGTCCTGCATGCTCTGACGCTTACACAACACGTGAGGATATGGACGGTTGTGATTGCCAAGTATGTTAAATTCTCCTACTGTTAGCCGGAGAGGATTTTGTTCCTAGATAGGGAGTGTGACTATGGGATAAATTTAGCTAATTTTGTGTGAGTAGTGATTGATGTGGCATTATATTAAAGATATTACGATAATATTAATGTACACTTATATTATATTTGGAAGTACTGAATTCATAGTTTTAATTTAAGATTGGAAGAAATTTAATATAAATTTTGTATTAAATTTTTTTCAATTTCAGATTCAAAGCATCGACACGATGCCCTAAAAGCAACATTACTCCATGTTGGTAACAATAATGGAACATCACCATCTTTTATGTCTTAATATCTAACACATGGTGCAAGTTGAGAGTGCCCAATTGACAAGCGTGAGAGTTTTGCGCATTAAGCAAAGTGAGATTTTTGTGGGGACATAAAATAGAACAACAGTAGATCCCCACTATTTAATTGGATGAAAAATGGAAAATGTAGGTTTGGATAAGGTTTGAAGTTGTGGAGTGGTTGGAACACATAATCTCTCTGTCTCTCTCACTAGAAAGGTTTGGTTCTTGGTGTGGTAGAAAATGAGTTTTGCATTGCTTCTACGTGTCAATCACATTTTCCCAACCAATTGAGTTCTAAAAACTAATTTCCTTTTTTATTTATTTATTTATTTTTTGCTTTTTAACGTTTTGAACTTGAGCATAAATAACAAGCTGAAAGGCTCACAACCCTTAGATGCGTTCAATGAATGAATCTAAGGATTATGTTTTGTTGGCTAAAATAGCGCTACTCATTTAGATTACTATCATGTAATATATATATATATATATATATATATATATATATATATATATATTAGATTACTATCAAACTAAGGTCGATGTTATTTTAAATATTTTGTTAATTAATAATTATTTTTTGAAAATAACAAATTAGTGTTGTTACAAAATTATCTCTCAACTTCTGTGCCAAAAAAAAATTATGCCTTCCAGATAAATGAAAAAAAAAAAGAGGCACTATATGTGTGTGTGTATATAAAAGTGGGAACTCAAATAATGAGGATTCTAGCCATGTTATTTATAAAGAATGATGTATCTGATTAACTATGCTCAATAGCAGGGATGGAGCCAAAAAATTGTGAGGCCAGTGATAGTGTATATTTTTAATAATTTCAGTAGGGGCGGTAACATAATTTTGTAGATATATTATATAAAAAAAAATGTAAATTAACAAGATATATTACTAAAAAAAAAAAATTTATTCAGTGGGGGCAATTCTCCCCCCTCAATAGTGAATACTACCAAAAAGTTACCATGCTCCGTACTCACATTTCTAGATTAAGACATACATTAACGGAAATTGCAAATGTTATGCTTGGGAGCATTGAATTGACGGTTTGAATTTGAAATTGAAAATAACTAAATTTCGTTCAATTTTAAATTACAGAAATTACAAATGTTATGTTTAAAAGAACCGAATTAACGGCATGAATTTAGAATCAAGGAAAACTAAATTTCATCCAATTTTAATTTCAAGTTGTGAATTCGATATTCTCAAGCGGAACAGAAGGGTATTGACAAAAACTTATTCGGAACAGAAGGGTATTGACAAAAACTTATTCTGGCACATCCAAAGGTTCAAACACACACAGCTCACAGAGTGAGACCATTAATTGATACATAAGATTTTGAAACCAATTAAACCAGATAAGGACAATATTTGGGCTGTCTACGGATAACCTTAGGGCACTTAATTTCCAGACTCTCACTGCAATAGGACGTTGCAAGAGAATATGCTCAACTGATTCTTAACATTCCACCACTTTTTTTCCAGATGTAATAGAACTGGTAATTTGTCCTAGCAACAATTCCAATAAAAGTAGAGAATTTTACCCCATCGTTTGGTTAGATGGAATCAACGAGAAAAGAAAAGAAACGCAATAGAGTTATTTTCTCCCAAAACCTTTCTGGCACCAAACATACAAAAAAATTATTATTATTTCCATCTAACCAAACAGAGCCAATATTCGAGTTTTGCCAAAACAAAGGGTTATTGGATTGCCTGCTTCTGCCCAACTCTACAAATGAATGATTTCTGTCATTTTTGTGAAGAGATAAAACAAGTTAACATATAGATTGTGCTTTAAATGATACATACTATTGGTTAATTTGGACTAACAAAAATATTAGGAGTTAGTAGTCATAGCGGGGGAGAAGGTACAAGGCTCGAACACTAATAATAAAGTCAATCAACCAATCAAACAATGCCACACTTGCTGCTAAACTTTTACAAATTTTCACCGGTCAATTTTATATTGTATTTCTTGGTGGTTCAACCATATGATTAACTACAACCATGATGATACCTTTTATAACTGTGTATATGTTTTTTTTAAAATTATGTTGTTAGACTGCAAAAACTGAGTCAGCTTTCACACACACACAGCTAGTAAACTTGCACATAGTTTATAGAAACATGTAGTTAGTGATTCAATTTCCCGCCGTATCAATGTACATCACAGTATATCATTTTATTTTGTAGTAGTACTTCTTCTAAATATTAAAAGAAGAGACTGGATTATTATTATTGTCATACAGATATATAAAGATGTTTCATATCATACTAAGTAATTCTTCTAGACATACTGTGACGGTTGGGATTCTAGCTGTGAGTAATCCTGCATGAGAAAACATGCATATATAGTTATCTTTCATGATATATATACATGTATAATATATATTTATATATATATAGAGAGAGAGAGAGAGAGAGAGAAAGGTAGTTACTTGGTACAGTCAGTGTTACTGTCTATTGGAGGCAGAACAATACGAGTGAGTCCACATTTTTGGGGAAGAGGAGGGATCCGATTAGGATCGTATTTAAAATTAGACAGGGCTGCCTTTCCACAGGTACAAATGGTTTCCCGATCATCTTGGGTTTTCGCTTCGCCAATCACTTCCTTAAAGCCTGCACAGCAGTCCCGGGATGGCTCACTACCTTGCAGGTAACTAACGCACGGCGCCAAATTTTTACGAATCTCTGCGCATGAAGGTGCACACATGGCTGACCTTGAAACCAGTAAGAGAATGGCGGCCAGAGACCATAGTAGGCGACGACTCATCTTAATTTGCTGTTCTAATTAGGATGATTTCGGATTAGATGGTGTGGAATTAAGTTATTCTTTGTATGTTACTTATATAGGGCATTGTATTAGTTCATTTTCTTTAGCTAACTACTTAAAGAATTAATTGTCGAAGTTTATATGACCTGTTTGAATTGTCACATCCAAAGCGGATTAGTTTTTATTATATCAACCGAAGGGGAGAGGCATACAAATTCAGGAGATGCCCCTGGATTGAATGTAAATGCATGTAATGGCCAACCAAGAGTTGGGTAGACCAAACCGTGCATCAAATTGCATTGGATTTTTGTCGTTTTTGACCCGTTTCTAATTCCATGTTATTTTGGGTTGGATTCTAGTCTATTTTGTTTTGAATTTTTATAGATCGTCTCATTTCGTGCTTTGGGATTTATTTGTTATTTTTTGTAATTTTTAGAGGTAGTCTGCAACCAACTAAATGTTTTCGACTTTTCTAGGATCATTACCATTATCAAATTATCAAGTCAATGCTATGTGTGTCTCAATGTAAATGCATGTAATGGCCAACTTGGGTAGAAATCGGATATTTCAATCCTACCAAATAGTAGTCTATATTTCTCCAATAAACTTGGTTTCGATTTTCGAGAAATCAAGTTGTTTATGCAGTGAATTTTAGTTGTTTTTGGCAGTTTTCTAATTCCATGTTGTTTTTGGGTTGAATATGAGTCTATGAATCTTAATAGATTGTCTAATTTCATGCTTTGGGATTTATTTATTATTTTTCATAATTTATATAGATTGTCGAGCTTTGTAATTTATTTATTATTTTTTGTAATTTATGTAAATTGTTTAATTTCGTGTTTTGGAATTTATTTGTAATTTTTAGAGATCTTCGTTATTACCTAAATGTTTTTGAATTTTCTAGGATCATAACCAATATAATATCAATGTTATGCGTGTCAATGTAAATTCATGTAATGGCCAACCAAGAGTTGGGTACACCAAAGGGAACTCCAATCCTACGGTCCTACCAAATAGTCTATATTTTTCCAATAAATTAAGTTTTGTGAAATGAAGTCGTTTCTGCGTTGAAATTTAGTTGTTTTTGATAGTTTCCTAATTCCATGTTGTTTTGAGTTTGAATTGAGTCAATGTTTGAGTAATGATATATACTTACATCGATGAATTAGGTAGAATTGTTAGGCCTATTACATTTGATTCGTCAATACATATTAAATATAAAAATATAGGATCTCCACTTTCTTATTTAAATATTTAATGTATTAATGACCAATCAAATTTAGTAGGTCTTACAATTCTGTCTACCTCATCGGTGTAAGTATCATTACTCATGAATGTTTTTGTGTTTCTGATTTGTATAGATTATTTAAATTTGTGCTTTGAGATTTATTTGTTATTTATTTGTAAAATTTAAAGGTTGTTTGATATTAGTTAAATATTTTCAACCAACAGTTGGGTAGCAATCCGATACTTCAATCCTACCACATAATGTTCTATATTTCTCCAATAAACTTAGGGCCTGTTTGGCATGCGTTTTACTTTAGGCGTTTTGTTTTTGGCTAAAACAGAAATATCGTTTTTACTATTAGAGTGTTTTGGCAAAAATCGGAAGCACGTTTGGGAATGATGTTTTGCTATAGAAATGTGGGAAACAAAAATATGCAAAACACGTTTGATAAGTCATGCGTTTCAAGAATTTTAAAAACAAAACATGTTTGGTAACTCCAACTGTTGTAAACAAAATAAAACAGAAATAAAAAATATGTTTGGTTATCATTGTTTTTAATTTATTTTTATAAATTTTAAATTTATTTATAAATTTATTTCTATATAAATAGTCTATATATTTTTAATAAATTTATTGAAAATTGAACACACAAACACACACACACACACACACACACATATATATATATATATATATAACCAAAGTGTAATTACAGAAGCAACTGCTTTAGCGAAAATGTAGAATGTTAGTTCTAATAATTGAACTAATAATTTCAACCATTTTGCATGTTATCTTGATCTGAAACTACACTTCAAGTTATTTGAAATTTCTTGGTATAGTTTGTTCCTTTGGTGATGATTGTCCATAGGTTTTTATTTCATTTATTTTGCTCATTTTTCGCATTAGCGAAAGAAGAAAAAAAAATACTACACAGCTCTGATAATAATTTTCGACTCTTGTAAGTCTGCACTGGTGGGAATTTAACTCCAAAATACAGATTCTTGCCTTCTCTTTTGTAAAAAAATGTAAACCCCCACCAAATTATATATATATATTAATTTTTGCAATAACCTATTTACAAGTTATTTGCAATAACCTACTTCAAATTTATTATCATTATACCTGTATAGTCCAATTCAATATTAAAAATAAATAATCTCTAGTCACATTTTACTATACTACATGAGAGTCAACATTTGTAAAAAAATTTGCAATAACCTATTTACAAGTTCTTTGCAATAACCTGCTTTAATTTTATTATCATTATACCTGTATAGTCCAACTCAATATTAAAAATAAATAATCTCTAGTCACATTTTATTATACTATATGAGAGTCAACATTTATAAAAAAAATTTGCAATAACCTATTTACAAGTTCTTTGCAATAACCTGCTTCAATTTTATTATCCTGATACCTGTATAGTCTAACACAACATTAAAATAAAAACAAACTCAATTGAAAACATAATTGAAATAGAGTATATAACATTTACAAGTCCTGAAATATTCAACCAACAAATTAAACACGTTTAAGTTGTACATAAAATGTTTGGAACAAAGCATTAACAATACGTAGTTGTCACTAAAAATTAATAAGAAGTTCATAAAGTGGATAACAATGGCAACGACACATCATCTTCATAACAGCACATATGGCCTTCAAGAGAGCATCAACACACTTCATATCTGCAATTATAGCATTTAAGTTGAATTATATATCTGCAAAAAATATTTATATTACATATATATATTGCAAGGTCACAATAGCAACAAATATATTACATATAAAAGAAAAAATATACCATCACCTTCAGAAGGATCAAGAGTGCTGAAGAGAATTCCAAATCTGATCAGCAATAGTATTACGCAATTGATCCATTTCTCGAAGCTGAGCCGAAGGCACATGCTCAACAATCTCATCATCTTCGCCATCACTTTGAGGAGGATCATTACCATCAAATATGTCATCAGGCTGATGCTGATTTTTGATAAAATTATGTAATGTGCAACAAGCCATTACAATCAATACTTGTATTGAAAACTTATAAGGAGGCATTGCCCTCAAAATAGCGAATCTCATCTTCAGTAACCCAAAGTATCGCTCAATTATATTTCTCAAAGATGAATGCCTATAATTGAACACTTCCTCCCGACCACGAGGTTGTCTAGTCCTACGGTATTCCTGAAAGTGGTAAGTATGACCTCAAAATGGAGCCAAATAACCAGGCTTATTGGCATACCCTGAGTCCACCAAATAATACTTACCTGCCATGTTTAGAATACATAAAGATATATACAGTATAATAAACTAACCATATATTAAGTGAATTTATAAAAAAATATTACCTGCTGGTGGAGCTGGAAAGTTCATTGCCTCATTTTCAGTACACTCATTTAGGATTCTCGAATCATTAGCTGAGCCTTCCCACCCAACTAGCACATATGTGAACCTCATGTCAAAGTCACATACAGCCATTACATTTTGTGTGGTATAACCCTTTCTACCACGAAATTGAAGTTGTGTACTTGCTGGCAGAGTTGCAGGAATGTGGGTTCCATCTATAGCTCCCACACAATGCCTGAAGTAAGGGTAAAACCTAAAAGATTCTCTAATCTTATTCGGAATCACAGAAAAATTAGGAGGGGTAATGATATGGGTGCCCAACTGACATACTGCATGCAACACAGCATGGAAGTGTCTAGAAATGGTTTCAGTGGAGTGTTGAAATCTCTCTGCTACAACACGATTCCTTTAATTATGAGATAAAGTGAGCAAAAAGATTGCCACTTGTTCATAAACAGTTAAAAATTTAGAATCCTTCAGCCCTATACCTTTCAGGGTACTACACAATATTCTAAAAATTTCAGGGTACATCCTAAAATTTTCATAACATCTTTCTCTATGGCCGTTTAAAATCTCCATAACATATGTTTCCCCTTGTAAAATGGAATCCCTACAACGCCTCTCTTGATAGAAGTTCTGCTATTCTAAAAGAGCAGCAAATATTAAGACACTCTCATTATCCTCCTCATCGTCAGATAATTGAATTATTCTTCTTATATTGTTCCACACATCCATTGCCCTATTTAAAGATTTAATACAAGCAAAGCATTTAAGTTAACAAGCAAATCAATTAAATAATAAACAAAACATTTAAATAATAAAACAAACATTTAAATAATGGTATTAAAGTATTTGAATACTAACAGGCATCCAAGAAATAAAAGTATTTAAGTTATTATAGCCATCCAAATGTGAGATAATAAAAGTATTTAAGTTATTACAGCAATCCAGATGTGAGATAATAAAAATATTTAAGTTATTACAGTAATCCAAATGTGAGATAATAAAAGTATTTAAGTTATTACAGTCATCCAAATGTGAGATAATAAAAGTATTTAAGTTATTACACTCATCCAAATGTGAGATAGTAATAAGTAAAACGATGACACAAAACACAATAATCCATAAAGAAAAACTCAAACATTCAGTGCCCAACCAATTCTTACATCTTCAGGTGCCGAAAGAAAAAATTTCTGCCATTTCTCAGAATCATGTAATAACTTCGATACCTTAGCGAATTGGGCCATCTCAATTCTAGGTATTTTTTGTAAATGGAGCATGGAGGCGTCAAACATTTCATAATCTCTATCCTTTTTGAGGGAGAGAGAACTTCATCATCTCCTTTCTCACATGAAGATACACGAGTAGAAGTAGAAGATGCTTTAGCTGCTTTCTCTATTGCAGCTTCCATTCTCTCAGCTCTCCTCTCAGAATTCTCATTCATGTTTAACAAGAGTGCAGCTATACCAGGAGATAAAACATCTCTTTTGGCTTTCTTACCTTTACGTAAAGGTAGGGGACTGACCTCACAACCCTCTTCCTCATCATCGTCATCATTGGGAGTGGGCAAAATGATTGTGGGTGGTGCTGTAGTGGATGGGTGGGCATGCATCCCTCTTACATATGTGTCCCCAAATATAGTCAACATCTTGTCAAAATGCTTACATCCATACTTTTTATACTTATTTGCATTCGTAACAACCTACAAATTTTGTTACAATATTAACCACATAATCAATAATATACAAGATTTTATTATTTATTTATGACTAATAATTAAATTACTAACCTTGCACAACCTGTCCCATCTCTCTTCCTCAACTATAACCATGCCCGTCTCATGGTTATATCCCACGCCAGTCTCCGATAATAATTTCTTAAACTCAGTATAAATTTTCCTCAAACCATTAAACTTATTCCGAAGTTGGGTTAAACCAAATTTTCTCCCCGTGTGAACATTCATTTGTTTGATTAAATTACTCCAACCACTTTTACTAAATGTTGTGCCACTACGATTATTAGCCTTAACTTCTTCCACCATAATATTCACGAATTTTTCAATGAGTGACTCATCCCATAACAATTTTCCATCGTTCGTAACTTCAGCCACTTCTTCAATTGTGAGAGAATCACCGCATTGTTCCACATTCTCAACATTCATATCTATCTAACATATTAATAACAACACAATAATTAATAACAAAAAAAAAAATAATAGTACACATACGTGAGAGGAGAAAGGAAGCACTCTTACTCACAAAATTTCACTAATAATTTTGGGTGAGATTTGTCCAAACTCAAAGGAGTTTCAATGATATTGTAATCCAAACTTAGGGGTGTATGTGAAATTCACCCTAAAATGTTAGTACTTTGACATTTGAGACAGGTTTGTCATGCATGTCACTGTGGTAAACAAACAAGTAGTATTAAAGAATGATCAATTGATAGGTTAAACCACAGAGGCCTCTGCTTTATTTGGAGATTGGTATTTCCCAAAATAATATGTTCTTCCAAACTACAGGGAATTATATAAATTATGTGTGTTGCATTCAACCATTTTATGAAATATAGGTCAAACAAAAGAATGAAATTGACATTTCAAAGAACCTCTTTCTAATAGAAGAAAAGTAACTTTGTCCAAGTCAAAAACAAGTCTGTTATTCTACCACAGACACTATTACCCACAATATAATCATTTGTACATGTTAAAATTTGTATGTAAAGGTTATGGAGTACAAGTCTGTTCAAACTCTTTTCCTTCATTGCATGGGAATCAATTGGATGTTTCTAAGGAACAAGACACCTAGTGAGAGTAATATTAAAACAGTCAATTTCCACTTCATAGGAAACTTAAAGGATGTTTCCCCTTCCAACGAATTGACTGAGATTCTTCCGAGTAAAAAGGTTTGTTCCTAGCACAAGTAGGTACGCTCACTAATCTGCACGCCACATTTTGGCATTATAACTAATCTCACATTTCTATGTTCACCATTTACCACATCCATATGTGCACATTTCTGTCAATAGCAAATTCAAAGTGTACATTGACATATAGAGCAGAATTTGGGGAATTTCGTATTAGATTCTTTCAACAAGGTACCTCTTACCCAATGTTGAGAGATAATTTTCTGATTCAACAAATCATGCTGGTCTTTTCATTCAAATTTAGTAAAAAATGTAGTATAAATATGTAATCTGATTCAACATGTGATGTTTTATTACACTTCCTTGCATTAGATATTTTTTTGTTTTGCCCTCGTCTTAAATTAAATTTTTTTTGTTACGTCCACATTGTGAAACCAGCTCACTCAATTTTTTTTTTTTTTTTTTTTTTTGTCACTAGTCACTTCAAGAGAGCAGTTACAAAATGATGAAAGGGCAAATACCCTGATTCAGATAAATTAATAGCATATATATGAATAAGAAAAATGTCTACGCCTACGATATTATAATTGGTTCAATCTCAAGGGTGAAGGAAGGAAGCGTACACAGTAAACTCTCTTATTTAGTCCTTTAAGTTCAATTGATAAATGAGTTCTATTAATCTATCTAATCAATATTTGATTCTTAGTAATTGTTATATAATAATTTATCGGTGGCTTATGCATAAACTTCTAGATCATGTGTGCATAAATCAGTAGTAAATTGTCAAGAAACGTACGGTGAGCTTTTAAAGAAGGCATCGCCTCATGATACATTTCAGATTTAATCATTGGGCTTCAATTCAATCTCATTTTAGATGTTCATTGCCATCTACATTTCAGATTTGATCATTATATATCAATTCAATCTCATTTTAGAAGTTCATTGCCATCCCTTTAAAAGTTGTTCTCGATCATTGAGACAGACAAGGCTTCAATTTAAAAGTGGGGACTTGAATCATAACAGTATGATTTAAATATTATTGTTAACAAGTTGCACTACATGTGGCTACAATGGCCAATCTCATGTGACCTCTGATATGTATTTACTTAAAATTATGCCAATGAAGCAAATGCCAAGAAAGGATGTAAACAATTTTCCTGAATTCTATGATGTCCAAGTGAAGCAAAAAATTTAATAATGCAGCTTTTGTGTTCATCACCAAAATTCTAGCATATATCTGAATATTTCTCTTTTTATGGGTCGAGTGATATGCGTTATAAGCCCAATTCTAGTAGCCTCAAGGTAATTTTTCATTTCCAATATCAGTTGCATAGGAAAATATCTTGCATATGGTTTATTCATGCACTTGGTTATGATTTAAATAGTCTATTTCATTATGATACGCAGAAGAAAGAAGAAAATATCTTACCATCAATCCCCGATTGCGTGAGCGAGGAAGATCTTGTATATATTTTTCAAAAGCCTCTAATCTTACTTTCCCTTTAACTTCTAGAAATTCAGCCCAGTTGACATCAAGCAACTTCTCACCGCTACATAGAAATATGTCATTGACGAAGTTAAATATATATATATATATATATATATATATATATATATATATTATATATTCAACCTACAAAAATACAAGGGATATAGCTTCGTAGGTCACAAGCTTATTGCCCCAAAAATAATTGAAACAATGCTTCCTACAATGTTCTACACTGCTAAAAATATCCTAGTGAACGCATGTAAACAAACTCGGGAAAGAACAAGCAAAACCAGTTTTTCTAACATTGACTGTGTCAAGCACTCTTACATGAGAAGCACAGTCTTCTTGTTTCACAACTAAATCGAAGACAGAGTGTTTAAAGAGGATAGAAATAGAAGAGAGAGTACTCACCACAGTTCGTGCTTCCGATTTTGTGCTTTTCAAAGACTTCGTGCTTGCGATTCCCCTTCGCCTCCCAAATCGCCTTCTCTAGGGTTTCAGATTCCCTTTCGCCTCCGAAATCGCCTTCTCTAGGTTTCAGAGGAGAGAGAAAAGATCGGGCCAAAGTGTTGCAGACGACGTTTTAAAGTTACTTCCTCCACTACAGTTCAAGACCCAACTTACTTCAAGCGCTACAGTTCTTTTTATTGGGCTACAGTTCAGAAACAACAAAAACACCATTTCGGTGTTTCAGTTTTGGGCCAAAATTGTGTACTGTTTAAAACAATATTTTTGTACTGTTTAAAACATAACAAGGGCTATCAAACATGTTTTTGGGCCTGAAATTGAGCCCTGCAACAAAAACACCAAAGTAAAACACATAACAAACAGGCCCTTAGTTTCGTGAAATCAAGTTATTTCTGCATTGAAATTTTATTGTTTTTGACCCTTTTCTGATTCCATGTTGTTTTGGGGTTGAATATGAGTCCATTTGTTTTTGTTTTGAATTTAATAGATCGTCTAATTTCGTGCTTTGGAATTTATTAATTATTTTTTTCAAAATTTTTAGAAGTCTTTTGCCACTACCTAAATGTTTTCAAGACTTTAAGCTGTCATGATTTTGATGCTTTGGGATTTATCTATAACTTAATTACGTTATGTAAATACGGTCCGTTTTGTATTTCATAAATGTTTGGGATTTTCAAAATGCATTGTCACCAACTTCTCCCCGAGGAGGAATGTCACCTGCACAAAAGGCCTCAAATCAGAACTCAAACTCCAACTTGGGTCAATTAGAATGTCACCTGCACAAAAGGCCTCAAATCAGAACTCAAACTCCAACTTGGGTCAATTAGAAGAATATATTAAATGTTATGTTAGGAAATACCGAATTGATACCTTGCATCTGTGATTAAGAAAAATTTAATTTAAAATTTATACTAAATTTTCTTCAATCTCAAATTTAGTACGTAGCATCATAAAAATATTTCCGGTCAATGAAGAAAAATAACAACTATAGTAAGGTTTGTGATTGATATATACAGTATATAGGTTCTTTTATCGTAAAGAAACTAGTATAGAAAAAGGGCAAAACAGTCCATGCAACATTGAAGGGTGCCAATTTGTTTTCCAAGTGATCACCCCAATACAAAACAAGAACGATTGCTCTCAAGTCAGTCACCTTTTGGTCTCCTAATTAGTTAAATAGTTCAATCAACTTTGGTCAAAATTTAAATTTCTTCGGCTTAGAATTGAAATGAAATGTTCCAAACATGTGTAGTCAAAATTAAATTGATTTTTTTTCCTTACTCTATATCAATAGAGAAATTAACAAAAAAGTAATTAAAATAAATTTAGAATCTGCTTCGTTTGTAACACTGAAAATAATTCTCAAAAATTCCAAAAACATAAAATAGTTATCATAAAATATTTTATAATTCACTGAAAACATATATTTTAATAACTGAGTTTTCATAAAATATTTTATAGTTCACCGAAAACATATATTTTAATAACTGAGTTTTCAGAAAACTCAACAATACAGTTTTTTTATTTGTACAGTTTTTAATTTCCACAGTTACAAATCAAGCAGGCCCTTAGGAACGACTAGTTTGCTTTTTGCGATAGCTATTTTCAATGCTTGTAGGACTAAAAAACAAGAAACACTAAGGCTCCGTTTGTTAGAATGTAAAATCTTTTTTAGAATTTGTTTTTTCTTTCTTAGTGTTTGATTGTCATAAATATTTATCAAAAGAAAAAAAAATTAAAAACTAACAAAAATAACTTACCTGTTGAACTCAACCTCAACCTCTTAAATCTAGACCTTTGTTAAACATTGAAAAATAAATAAATAAATAAATATATATATATATATATATATTACTTGAAAAAATAAAATTTGTTTGATTGATAATTGTCTGAAAATTGAGTTAAAAATATGACTTATTTTCAAAGATAATATTTTATAGTGGTTTGAAAACGGCCTTCTCCACTCTAACAATGTCCAAGATGGAAGGAAACTTTGCTTTTCATTATTTTATTTTTCGATAACAAATAAATAACTCACCCGATAACCATTCTAGAATGAATGATTTACAAACTTCCTATTGCAAGCTACATTTATAATTTAAATTTAAGTGTTTTTGCACAAAATCGAATCTAGGTATTTTTGTACATAATCAAATTTAGGAGGTCCGAATTTACAATTCACCTGAGAGACTCCCTTTATTCACTTTTGCTTTCCATTTATTATTCTTTGGAGATTTTTTTCCTCCTTTTCACTTGAAAAATATGCAACTACATATATCATAATTGTATCTAATTTTTTTTTTTTTTGATCAACATAATTGTATCTATTAGTTTAGCAT